GCTGCCCACTCTGCCGCCGCCCGGCGGCCAGGTCTTCCGGCCCAGCCACCCCTTCGAGCGCTTCGACGCCGAGTACCGCCAGCAGTTCTTGTTCCAGCAGCTGCCTCAGGGCGAGGGTGGCCACATGCCCGTAGTTTTGGTGTGGGGCATCCTGCCCGTGGACACCGGTGACCCCCTGGACCCTCGCAGCAACAGCTCACTGGTGAGTGACCCGGCCTTCTCGGCCAGCAGTCCTGAGGCCCAGCGCTGGCTGCTGGCACTCTGCCACGGAGCACGGAATCAGAGCTTCTTTGGGGCCCAGCCGGAGGGCTGGTCCACGTTGTGCTTCGTGGAGGCCCTCCAGCACTGGATGGAGAGCCCTAGGTGTGCCCGCCTGGGGCCTGGCCTCTGCTGTGGCCACTCAGGCTTCCCCTGGGCCCCCCAGCTTTTCCTACACTGCCTCAAGATGATGGCTCTGGAGCAAGAACCCGAGAGCACCCGTGACCTGGGACTCCGCTTCAATACCCAGGGCAGTCTGGCCGCCTTGGTCCTGCAGTTCCAGACCAACTTCCAGTATAGTCCCGACTACAGCCAGGGCCACCACTTCTACACTGAGGTCAGCCACTGGCTGGCAGCAGAGCTGGGCAGGGCACCTCCTGGCCTCCGCCGGGGCTGGTTCACGAGCCATCTGGAGCTATACAGCCTGCAGCACAGCCTGAGCACCGAGCCTGCTGTGGTGCTGGGCCTGGCTCTGGCGCTGGCCTTTGCCACACTGCTACTGGGCACCTGGAATGTTCCTCTTAGCCTGTTCTCTGTGGCAGCTGTGGCAGGCACCGTGCTGCTCACTGTGGGGCTCCTGGTTCTGCTCGAGTGGCAGCTCAACACTGCCGAGGCCCTCTTTCTTTCTGCCTCTGTGGGCCTCTCGGTAGACTTCACTGTCAACTACTGCATCTCCTATCACCTGTGCCCACACCCTGACCGCCTGAGCCGCGTGGCCTTCTCGCTGCGCCAGACCAGCTGTGCCACGGCAGTGGGGGCTGCAGCTCTGTTCGCAGCCGGTGTGCTCATGCTCCCTGCCACGGTGATGCTCTATCGCAAGCTGGGTATCGTCCTCATGATGGTCAAGTGTGTCAGCTGCGGCTTTGCCAGCTTCTTCTTTCAATCTCTCTGCTGTTTCTTTGGACCAGAGAAAAACTGTGGGCAGATCCTCTGGCCTTGTGCCCACCTGCCGTGGGACGCTGGAAGTGGGGAACCTGGTCCAGAGAAGGCAGGCCGCCCACGGCCAGGGCCAGTGGGAGGGGCACCCGGGTCCTGCTCAGAGCAGTACGAGTTACAGCCCCTGGCACGGCGCCGGAGCCCCAGCTTTGACACCAGTACAGCCACCAGCAAGCTATCCCACCGGCCCTCAGTGCTCTCTGAGGATCTACAGCTGCATGATGGCCCCTGCTGCTCCAGGCCTCCGCTGGCCCCTGCCTCCCCACGGGAGCTGTTCCTGGACCACCAGGCAGTCTTCAGGCAGTGCCCAGCCCTGCAGACCTCCTCACCCTATAAGCAGGTTGGCCCCAGCCCCAAAACCTGGACCAGGAAGGACTCCCAAGGGCAGAAGGCTGAGCCAGCGCAGCCCTTACCAGAAGCCCCAACCCACTCCCCCAAGCCCCAGCCCCAGGTTGTGGAGCCTCCAGATTGCCTCTGTTCCTCAGCCAGCACCCTGGAGGGGCTCAGCGTCTCTGACGAGACCTGCCTAAGCACCTCTGAGCCAAGTGCCCGCGTGCAGGATTCCGTGGGTGCCTCCCCAGAGGATGCAGACGAAACTGAGCCAACAGTACCTGAGCGAGGCCAGCTGAATGAGAAGCGGGACACCCTGTGGCTGGCACTGCGGGAGACTGTGTACGATCCATCACTGCCTGCCTCCCACCAGAGCAGCTCGTCCTGGAAGGGCCGTGGGGGGCCAGGGGATGGCAGCCCTGTGGTGCTGCCTAACAGCCAGCCAGATCTGCCAGACGTTTGGCTGCGCAGGCCCAGTACCTACACTTCAGGCTACAGTAGCTGAGGGAGGCCCTGGGAGGCTGGACTGGAGCACAGAGCCTGTCAGGGATGACACTGCAGGGGCAGCACCAGGCTGGAGCCTGCTGGTGTTTCTCCACATCAGCATGAAGAAGGCTCACCCTCCAGCTGTGGATTTCCAGCCTGCCAGATGATCCAGCCTTGGCCTGGGCTGCTGCTTACTCCCCACATCTGGAGGATTCAGTGGGGAAGGTCTTCGGAGTGAAAAGCCAAGCTCTCCTCATGATCTGCTGAGGGCTCATCTGTCCCCACAGTGCCAACCAGGACCCACACTGTGGAAGGGGGAAAACCAGATGTGTACCTCTATGTATTAGGCAAGGCTGACCCAGCCCCCATGTCAAGTGGCAAGTTCAGTGAGACTAAGGGACCCAGTCCTTAGGACCCTGCAGGGACACCTCACCAACCAAAAGAGCCCTGGGAAATCTCAGCATCCCCCTGGGCCTCACACCTTCCAGGGGTTCTTTATCAGGATACTTCTTTCTCTTTGGGGAGCTTCTCTGGGCCAGAATTGGGCTAAGTCCTCTGGCCTGAACTGCCCTGCCCCCCTCACATTCCCCAATCTGACCAGAAATTTGTCAAGGCCAGACAGAAATGGCTGCTGGGAATGAAGCTGGAGGAGGATGGTCAGCCTCAGAGCATCCCTAAATTGCTGGATGGTCCCTCACAGGAAGCTGCTCTGGCACGGAAGAGTCCTCTCCCCTATTAACAAATAGGAATCCTTTATGCCCTGCATCTTTTCTTTAACAGAAAACTCTTCCACACCCATTGTTTCCTGGGAATATCACCATTTCAGTATGGGGTAGCCTGCAGTTGGCCCTGTCCTTTTGCCCCCGATTTATAGGTAAAGGTGTTGAGACTAGTAAGGTTGTTTTACACAAAGCCACATAGCTAGTAACTGGCTGAGCAGGTTTCCTGACTCACTCCACCACAGCTGCACTCTCCTCCTGGCTGCCTGCCCCAGAGACATTGGCCTGTGCCTGTCTTGATCTTTCACCTGTGACATTCTCAAGCAACCTGCCTTGCACGTGTCTCTGAGTAAACTCCCCTCCTTCCTCCCTTTGGGCCTCCATCTCCAGAAAGAGCCCCAGTCTGAGCATGCCTGGATTTCCTCCCCAATTCCCCTGTGCTTCCCTCCAGCTGCAGCTGAGATGCCTACTATCCGGGAGGCTTTCAGGCTGATCTGATTCCCAGGGTCAGGGTCGGGACATATCTCTTCCAATGGCCACCGTGTGTGGAAAGCCCCTGCCAGGAGAGGCATTGAGGGCAGCAGAGGTTGAGCAGAGTTCAGTAAAGGCAGGAGCTCAGGCCTGCCCTCTTTGGGAGTAAGTCTGAAGCTATTCCCTAGGTCAGGATCCCAGCTTCTAAGGACAGATCTCTCTGGGGGCACTCCGCAGACCAAAGGCTGGCTCCCCCTCCCCAAAGTAAAGGGTCTCTCTGGAAGGTTTTATCCCACATGAGAGCTCATGACGCCTGGAGCATCAGCAGGTTCACTGAACACCAACTCTGCAGACAGCACTGCAAGCGGACAGAGCTGCGGAAGGAAAGTTGAACATCTGCCCTTAAGGAGCTCACCGTCTAGCTGAGGAAACAGCTCACACATACATGCAGGCATCAGTGGGTCACTGATGGCACCAGGCCGTGCTGAGGGCCATATGCCTGTCACCATGAGTACTGCTGGAGCTCAGGTACCCAGAACTGGTAACCAGGAAGGCTTCCTAGAGGAGGAATGACTTGAGCTGGGCATCAGAAGTCCAAGTATCTCAGACTGGAAGGGACCTTAACAATCATTTATTTCAGCAGTTTTCAAACTTTGAAGCCCTAGGACCTTTCTTCAAAGAATCCTTATGTGGACACACAGGATATAAAGCAGATAAAAAGCAGCCACTCTGGTGGGCACTGAGAGGGGGGAGTACAGAGCCAAGTCAGCCTCACTTTCTACTGCGCCTTTCATGGGGCCCTGGGGACATTTCAGGCTCCTGGCAGCTCCACAGAATGTGGTATGAAAACCACTGATCCAGGTCATTTTATGGTTGAGCATCACAGAGGGGAAGGGGTTTTTCTAGGGTCAGTCTGTGGCAGAGCTGGAGGCAAATCAGGGGGTGTTTTTGTTTTGTTTTGTTTTGTTTTTCCAATATTGTTGAGACCTACCTCCAACTCCAAGAAGCGCGTGAGAAGTGGGGCAGAAAGCCCAATGACATGGGAGTTGTGGAAGAGACAGAAGACCACGGGCAGGAGTGACAGTTACGTCAACTCCTTTGCACGATAAGTAAATGAAACCCATCTGACTCCTGATACCAGGAAGGAGAGGCAGTGACTAGCACCTAACTTGGACCATCTCCCTGGAGGTCTGCTGGGACCTCCTTCTCTTCATGTCTGAGTAAAAGTCAGCCTCTCTGTCCTGGCTTCTCTACATCATGGACTGGATCCTTCTGTATTCTCACAGCCAGACTGAGAGAGCACTAGTCTCAACTGGGACCATCAGCCAGGAGGACAAGGGAGCTCTTCCTCCTTGAGCAGAAGTCGGGCCTTGACTCAAGACAGTCCAGCATCTTAGTTGCCTCTCAGTGATTCACCACGGCTCTTCTGCCCCATGTTGTGGGAGGGCAGCTGGGCCCTGGACCAAAAGAACCTGCTCCCCCACACTCTCTTTCATTTCTTGCAGGGAGAGACACTGATGTCTGGGACTGGAGCTTCAAAAACTTGGCCCAAACACAACCAGTGAAATGTCTGAGAGTATATGAAGGGGTGGGTGGGGTGGGCATCAAGGATCTGGGTACAACCGAGAGCCCTCCTTGGGGATTTCTGGGCTCCATCCATGCAGGCCATGGCCACACAACCCTTCAGGAAGGCAGATGAGCCAGAGCAGCTGAGGTACTGACTGGATTTGTTCTTTACACAGTCAGGCCCAAAGGACTGGAAGAACCCAGTTGTAATCTAAACCATCACCTCACACCTAGAGTGGCCCAAGCCGACAGCAGGCATCCCACCCACACCAGTGGATCATCCAGCCCTCCTCTCTAGCCCCAAGTTTGGAAAGCAGAATGTGAAGCATTTTCCATTTCCTTTGAGTTTTAGCAGATCTATTTATTATCATTATGGGTGGTTACAGTGAGTGTATGGCCCTCAACACACATATGGGGAGAGGCTTGGACGGATGCTATGAAGCAGGCAGGGGAAACCAGCCAAAGCATTCATGCTTGCTCTGGAGCATTCAAGAAATGGCTTCTTAACACTGAGACCCTCCTTTAACACTCTTTTGGGACTTGAGGTCATTTCTCCTATCTGTGCCACAGATCCATGAACTCACACCCAGAGATGAGTGTGCGTGCTGTATGTTTTAAAAATGTAACTTGGTGTAGTTTGTTACTACAGGAAAACTCATCCCTCCATAGCTGTGGCACTTTGGGGACAAGGTTAGAGACTAATTTGACTGGCAACATCTTAGATTTTACTGGCAGATGGCCTATCCCATACCGTGATATGAGGCAATATCTCAGCTTGAGCCTGATTCTGAAAGAGACATCTCACAAGAGATTAATAAGCCAAACATCCTCAGTCCCCTCCAACTCATTCCAGCCTCTCCTGGTGCATGACAAGACAGGGAGGCAGGGGAAGGGTATCAGGAAAGAGGACACACTGGGGAGTTTCTGATCTTTTCTTCCATGGTGGGCTTATCTCAGCTTTTGATAATACACGTGGTCAATGACAAGCTCTCTGGCCCCCACACCATGCATCAAGATCCCCTTTGCTTGGGGGTAGAAAAAACAGACATCCCTCACCCTTGTTCACAGGGACGACAGTAACTGAAGGTGTTGGAGGTGTTTACGCTTAAGAGGAGAAATTGTAACTCAAATCACTGGGAAGATGAGAAACGAAAGCCACTGTGTGATATGTAAATGACTGGCTGTCCCAAGCCACCCTGTGCTGAAGAGCCCTGGAAGGACCTCGATAAACTTATCATTATCATCAGGCCTCTGTGTGATTATTCACCTTATACCTCAATTAGGGAAAAGGTCAGCATTTTTATCAAATTCACAAACATCAAACAAGAGTTTCAGGATTGCTAAAGAAAACCACTCAGCTGGGCAGACTGATGTAGATTGGAATTCATGACCACCAGTCTCAACCAGAGCCTCATCCCTGTCTAGCTCGTCTCCATTCTAGTTACTGGTTTCCATTCTTGGCAATGACCATTTCATACTTTCTCTATCTGCCTCAAACATCAGATGCCCTTCACCACCCCATGCCCTCACTTTCAGTAGACGAAAAACTCATTCTTCAAAAAGAAAACTGGAGGCATCAGGTTGAAATTACCTCACCTTCAAGGCATCAAGTCCCCAACTTACCTATCCTGCTCCTGCTGGCTTCTCTCCCCTCCCTTCTATTACAAAGAAGGAAGCAGTAATGGCCCCATCAATGGCTCCACACACTTTGTATCAGAGGTCTTCAACTAGGGCTTGCATTCCCATAAGGATGTGAACACTTTCTAGAAGGTAGGTGGATATAGATATTTTTAAGGGAATCAATTTCAAGAGTTTCCTTCATATGTTCACTCTCCTCATACTGATCAGCCTAAGAAGGAACCTTAGGTCAGCCAGTTCTCCTTCCCAACTTGCACCTTCCCGGTTGACCCTTCCTTCATTCTGCTTCTACTCTGGCACCTCTCTCTGCAGTATAAAAAAACAAATAAAAGGACACCTCCTTGGCTTGAGGAAGTCCTGGAGAGAGCAAAGCCAAGAACATCAAAATACTATTATAAGCTTATTCCATATGTTCACACATATATTCATATGTGTTCCATATGTTCCACATTATAATTGCATTCCATATGCTAAGTAGAGACTTGGAAAGTATATATATATATACATATATATATATGTATATGTATTTTAAATACCCAAATTGAACCTGTAGAGATGAAAACTAAAATTTCTGTGATTAAAAAAAAGTCACTGGATGGAATCAACAGTTTCAACATTTCAGAACAAAAGATTAGTGAACTCAAAGACAAAACGATAGAAATTATCCAAAATGACACACCAAGAGAAAAAAGTTTAGAAATGAATAAAGAGCATATACAACAGTCAGGAAATGTGTCCTTTTTATACCTATTTAAAATAATGAAATAATTTAGGCATCAACTAAAAATGAAGTGGGTATATTTGAAAAATATATATTTTGTGGGGGTACAGGAACAAGAATTTGAAGATGCTACTCTAGGTACCATCTCCCTTACCCCTTTCTCTATGACTTTGCTCATTTGGTCATCCCATCTTCCTCCTGAAGCATCCTCTTCTTCCTCTCAGCTGGCTCATTCCATCAGCACATGTATCCACTATTATCTACAGTTACAAAAATCCCTTCCTTGACCCCTACAACCCACCTCCAGTTGCTGTCCAGTTGCCTACTCCATTCACAAACTCTCTTCTGCACCTGCCATCTCTACTACTCCCACATCTCTCGTGTACTCTTCAGCCTGTTCCAACGTGGTTTCATTTCAGTCTCTCCACCAGAATTCCTCACCAATGACTTCTTTGTTGCTAAAATAAATGGATCCTTTTCAGTTCTTATCTTGTTTGCCCTTTCAGTTATTTTCGATAGTTTACCACTCCATTCTTCAGCAGTTTACCATTTCCTCCTTCTCAGTTTCTAGGACACCACTCTTTTTTTTGGTTTTCTTCTCACCTCTCTGGCACCTCTTTATCAGGTTTCTTGGCTGGCACCTTCTTATCACTGCACCTTCTAAGTACTGCTTGTCCCTACCATTGGTCTTAAGGCTGTCTGTACACTTCTTCCCGGGGTGATCTCATCCAATATCATAGCTTTAAATACATACATATACCCATGACTCCTAAGAGGAAATCTCCAACCCAGACTTTCCCCTGGGTTCAAAGCTTGCCTTTTCACCTGCCTACTTGACAGCTCCACTTCAATGTCTCAAAGACATTTCAGATTTACTGTGTTCAAAACTGAACTCTCAATCTCTTCCCAATACAAAATGATGACTCTAGCCACACAATTATTCAAGCTTGGGAGTCATCCTTAAGCTCTCCCTCCCCGTTATCCCTCCTTCCCCCACATCCAATCTAGAACTGAGTCCTGAGATTCTACTTCCAAAATCTGTCTTAAATATGTCTGCCTCTCTCCAGCTCTACTACCACCACCATCATCATGGTCTAGCCACCATCAACTATCACTTGAATGATTACAGTAGCCTTCCAACTGTCTCTTTAATTCCGCTCTCGTTCCCCTTCAATCCATTCTCCATGGATTAGCCAGAATGAGCTTTTTAAAGCATAAATTGAATGACACTCTCCTGCTCTAATACTTTAATGACTTCTAATTACTGTTAAGGAAAAAATCTCTTTACCTTTGGCCTATAAAGACTGCCATTCAACTTCTTATCTCACCAGCGTTATGTGTACCATTCTCCTCTCCTCTTTTAGTCCCTCTAGGAAAAGCCCATTCCTGCCTTGGGACTTTGCATTTCTCCTAGCTCCCCGATTCTTCATCTGATTACCTCCCATTCATCCTTTATTAGTCAAAACATCATCTCAGATGTCTTCCCTGACTCTGCACTTTAAACTAGATTTCCCTGCTTTTCTCTCTCACAGCACATTGTACTTTTCCCTCATAGTTTTACTACAGTTAGTAAATATTTTTTCCCCAGCTTAACTGATATATAATTGACGAGTTTGTGTGATTATTTGCTCTTTCCTAGATTGTAAACTCCAGGAGGGCAGAGCCCAGGTCAGTCTTGGTATTTGCTGCTCCCATCTCATCTGCCCACTGAGTAGTGGTCTGGCACAGAGCAGATGCTCAATAAATATTTACTGGGTGAAATGAATTAGTGCATTTTAAGTGGTGGAGAACTCTGCCCTGTTCGCTAGGAGTAGCTTTGAATCTCAGCTTAAGTTCTGGATTTCAGGTATTTCAGCTCACAGGCACTCTCCAAACTTAAGCTGCCACTCTCCACCCTGTAACGTGTAGTTTTCCGCCCATCCATCCCTGTGCTCCTGGCAATCGGGCATCATGCAATATCCCTCACAATCACAGACCAGATAGAGAAGGATTGTGACATGGACTCTAAAAGTGACGGCGTTTGCGTCCCAAGGGCGGAATATGACGCCAGTGGCTCATAGCTCCATTGAGGCTGGCAAAGTGCACCACTCCTCTCCCCCGCCCAGACCTGGGGGCGCCCACACGGATTGCCAGGAAGCTTAAACTGGCTCCTCGCCTCGGACCTTCCGTACAGCATGGCAGCCCCCAAAGGCGTCGCCCAAGGCAGTGACTTCCGTACAACATGCCCGCCTACAGAGAGCGCGCCGCACCCGCTCCCGCCCGGCCACCGGAAGTTTCCATTTGAAACCCTGGCGGCAGACGCAGTCGGCGGTACGGCAGTTGCTGCCGAGCATTTTTTGAACCAGAGCGACGAGGCCTGGGGGCCGCAGCGGCAGGCGCCTGGGTTCGGTTCTCCCGGGGGCGTGGGGACTGTGCTGGATGTGGGAGGCCGATGGGGTGGGCTGGGAAGGGAGGATTTTCTCTCCCTCAAGGCCTCCCCCGAGCCGGGGCAGGTCGCGTCGCGCTCTCCTGGGGCCCTTTGCCTGCTCGGGCCCCCTGGCCCAGTCCTGGGTAACGTTCATCTTGTACCTTCCAGAGCCCGACCGTGCCGCCTCGTTACGATGACCAGCGTAGTTAAGACCGTGTACACCCTGCAACCCCCCTCTGTGCTGAGCAGCGGCCTGCCGCCAGGTGGGTATCCACCCCGCCCCCGCCCGAGGGCACTAGGGACAGGCCGGGGTGGTCAGGCGGGGAGTATGGGGAATCAAACTGGTGGCTGGGAATGGGAGGCGCGGAGAGGGGAGGGCATTCCGTCGGCTCTGACAACCTTCCAACTCCCCCTAGAACCGAGCTGTCTAGGCTTACGATGGGAGTTAGGGAACAGGCCATACGGTAGGATTTTAGACCAGCCCTGCACCCCCTACTCCCCCAAACCTAACGGTGCCGGTGCATTCACCAATTAGGTTTAAGTTGCTGATTGTTATACAATATTCCCATTAAGCTAAATATCCCTTTCTAAACATTCACCTGTTTTATTTCCAGACTTGGGCTATCTAGGGGAACTGGATTTGCTGTCAGGGAGGAGAGAAGAGTCATTTGAAAAGCAGGATAGTTAGGGAGAAGCACTAGGGCTCACTCCGTGTCTGCTTCACATTTGTAACTGCACAGTGTCTCTTTTATAGTACATTCTCAATAAGCATTTATTGAGTTGAAGTGAGAGAGGGGTCAGGCCTAGCTAGTATTGGAGAACCTTAGGAGAAGAGACATGATTAAAAGCAATGTTTGATTGCCTTGCCATCTTGCTTGGCGTTACTTGGCTTGTGGTTGAAGGTCATCTCATAGAGGCTCAGTTGTGGAGCTGCCTAACCTAGAGATGATAGCATAAATAGGCTTCAAACATCAGAACCTGTTGTGGGAGATTTTGAAGCAGCTGTTTAAGATTCCTTCCTGGGTGACTCCATGCAGTTGATTGCTGAGCAGTAGCAGGACTGATTTATGAAGTATATAGGCTTTTCTCTAAAGGCTTAAAGGATTCTATTTGTCTTACGTTGCTTCAGAACACGTGAATGGCAGTCCTGGCATCAGCAAAGCCTAGGAGTTGCTGGAGGAACTGGAGCCGGGTCTTCCACTGCCTTTCCCCTGGAGAGCAGTGCCCCTTGTTCAGTGGGGAGTGACTGGCTCTCCCCAGCCAAGTTGGAAGTTGGCCATCTCTTTGCTTGCTCTCCCTGTCCTGGCTTTATGATCATGTGTAACCTCAATAGTGTAACGTTTTTCAGCTGCCTCTCAGGTTTTTTTAATTTTGATTTTGGGCATGGGTTGGTTGTTGTTTAGTTTTTTGAATAGATAACATATGCACATGTAAAAAAAATTCAAAGTTAGGGCATGATATACAATGAAGCTTAAGTCTTTCCCTCCTTAACACTAGCCATCCAGTTTCCTCCTTAGAGTCTCTCATTTTAAGCAGTCTTCGTTAAATCCTGCTAAATTTTTCCTATGATTCAGTCCTTAAGTTTTAACAAATATGGGTTATTGGAACCAATTCCAGTCAATGAAGAGTGTTAATTTTGATCAATTTGCTATTGACATCTTTTTACATGAGATAGATTTCTTACTGTATAAGTTATTAATACTTGAGAAAGGAGAAGGTAAATTCATTCACCCAAGGTTACCTTTTACTTCTGACAGAGACCTCAGAAAAAATGTTTTTAATACTTGCTTTGTGGGTAAGAGTATGGAAAATAGTGTGTAAATGTCCATTGAGTGTACCTATAAATGAAATAATTTCTTAGCCTAAGAAAGCAGGTTTATTCCAAACTGTTGTGCAACTAGAATCATCAAAATAAATCTTTTTTTAATATTTCTTATTTTATTGAAGTATTATTGACTTACAATGTTTCAGGTGTACAGCAAAGTGATTCAGTTATACATATATATATATTCTTTTTCAGATTCTTTTCCATTATAGGTTATTACAAGATATTGAACATAGTTCCCTGTGCTATACAGTAGGTTCTTGTTGTTTATCTATATTATATATAGTAGTGTGTATCTGTTAATCCAAAATTCTTAATTTATCCCTGCCCCCCTCTTCCCTTTTGGTAACCATAAGTTTGTTTTTATGGCTGTGAGTCTATTTCTGTTTTGTTAAAAAGTCCATTTGTATCATTTTTTTAAGAGTCCACATATAAGTGATATCATGACATTTGTCTTTCTCTGACTTACTTCACTTAGTATGATAATCTCTAGGTCCATCCATGTTGGTGCAAATGGCACTATTTCATTCTCTTTTATGGCTTAGTAGTTTCCGGTGTGTGTGTGTGTGCGCGCACGCGTGCATACCACAGCTTTTTTTATCCAGTTTGATGGACATTTAGGTTACTTCCATGTCTTGGCTATTATAAATAGAGCTGTGAACGTTGGAGTGCATGTATCTTTTTGAATTAAGGGTTTTTGTCTTTTCTGGATATATGCCTGGGATTGCTATATCATTTGGTAACTCTTTTTTTAGTTTTTTAAGGAATCTCCATTCTGTTCTCCATAGTGGCTGCACCAATTTACATTCCCACCAACAGTGTAGGAGGATTCCTTTTGCTTCACATCCTCTCCAGCATTTATTATTTGTAGACTTTTTGATGATGGCAGAATAAATCTTTACCAAACACAAATGCAAAATTTCCTGATCTCTGTAATCCAGTGCTTTGTACCTCATTTCCTCAACTTGATTTAATTGTTATGGCTCTTAATTTAAGTCAGGCTTAAAGGAGGCATTTTATGATGAACAAAGTGGAAGTTAGCATAAGCTAAAAGAACCTCTGTGTGTGTTTGGCGGGGAGGTGTATCTAACTCTAGAACAAATTACTTGAATTTGCGATGGAATGTAAGTGGTAGGACGCTTGTGAGGTGGAGGGCTGGCATAAAGGCTTGGAGGCAAATGCTCGCCTCTGGGGAAGAAGAGTGTCACATCAGGGCCATTTCTCTGGCTACCTGGCAATAGCCTAGCAAGATCAGAACAGAATGCCAAACAGGAAACCTCTAAAGTTAACGATGGATAAACAAATGAAAAGGGCTGGTGGTAAAGGCAGTCAGCACAGAAGAGGGGAAGGCGCACAGAGGAGCTAGCTTAGGGATGGCCTGTGAAACAACCCCTGACACTGTGACGTGTTCCCTTTATTCAATGAGCAGGTTTTGAACTTGTTAGTGTGCCAGACACTGCTTTCGTAGGTTCTGGGGACATAAACACGTCTTTTAAAGTAGTAGTTAGGGAGACAGTCAGGTCACAACAACTAAGCAACAGCTGAAACTCGAAGCAGCTTGAGTGTAGCCTCAGGAGGGCGGGCAGAGTGCTCAGGAGCGTAAAAAGATACGTTCCATTCAGCTGGTGTTTGATGACGACTTCAGCTGTGTTTTACCTTGCCGACTGCCATGCTGCCTCTCAGACTCTGCTTCTATGAATCTCCACTTTCAAATCTATGCCTTCTGGCCATTCAGTTAGATGTATCGGCAAGCTTTCGGCCCTCAAACACACTGCACTGTCATATTTAAAGAGTTTTGGTTTGTGTCCCCAATTAGTCTAGAAGTCTTATTCTTCTGAATTACAGTCGTGGCTGTTGGGTCATGATGCTTGAGGTTTCACCCTCTTGTTTTCCTTTTCAGATGCACAAACTCGAGCGACTTCTAAGAGCCTATTACCTGTTAAGTCCAAAGAAGTTGATGTTTCCAGACTTCATTCAGGAGGTTCAGAGAATGATGTTACAAAAATCATCAAACCTAGACGAGAGAATGGGTGAGAGTCAGAGCATTGGTATCCAATTAGATCATCTTGCTAGAAATTGCTCAGAACCATGAATTAGGAAAGAGGGCTTTTGTGAGCACAAGGTACCTGAGGGATTGGCCTATAGTCAGTGGGCCCAGCACTGTGCAGCATTGCTGAGCTGTTTGTTCAGGACCCTCTGCACTGATCAGTTCTGAAGAGGCACAGCCAGGGTTATGAGAAGAGGTATTCTTTCCTCTCTCAGCACTTGCTCTAAGTGTACAAACAGCAGCCCTGAGGTCAAACACCAGCTCTAAGTGGTCATCATGGCGGATGTGGGCTAGTTGTTAACCTCGGTTGCTAATCTGAGCACAGTCCAGCCTGGTGTAGGGTGTATATGTGTCCCTTTACCCAGTGCTCAGTTCCCACGTCAGTGAGGTGGACATGAGGTAGCCACACAATTTGGAGCAGAAGCAGTCTTGTCAGGTTGTTGAGGTGGTCAGGAGGGGCGCCCATCCTCTATTCATGAGCCCTTTTCAATAGTCTGAGCTGAAACAAAAGTGCTGGGGCCCTCAGAACTTCTCAAGCTTGTGCTGTTTGCATTGGATGTAATCTCTCGTTCTTGCCTTAGGCTCTTTGTTGTGCCTTGTTCACAACATACATAACAGTACCATGATTTTCTGATTGATTTCTTGTTTTAATTGAGGTATAGTTGACATACAACGTTTTATTAGTTTCAGGTATACAACATAATGACTTGATATTTGTATATATTGCAAAATGATCACTGCAGTAAGCCTAGTTAACATCTGATTTCTTTGTTCTCTAGGCAGGTGAAAGCTGCAGAGCCTGTCACCAGGAGGAACATCAGAAAGAGGTGAGCATCAGGGTAAACGAAACTTGGTCACCATTGTAGGGTAGTGGACCTCAGTCCTGGTTGCACATCAGAATCACACATGGGACTTGTTTAATGTATTAGAGTCTGGTGCCACCCCAGAAATCTGAATGGAATTTTCAGGGGTGAGGCACAGCCAGATTTGAGAACCACTGTCAGGGCAAGAAGCAGTAATGCTCCCATCTTAGGTACCAGACAAGAGCTTCCTGGGCTCCATGTCAGGACCACTGCTCAAACCTAGCTATGGCCCCTCAGCAGGAGTGTGAAGCCCTCAGGATAGGAGAGGCTGCATGCGTGTGGTTAGTGATTTCGAGATGAGGGTTGTGCTGCTGCTGCTGCTGGTGGCAGTGGTGGTGAAATCCTGGAAAAGGATCCATCTTTCTCTGTTTGAGGCTCGCTTGGACATTTTGCAGTCCTGAAAGCAGAAATAATATAAGCTGAAAAGTTTGTAGAAATAGGTTTTAATTCCAGATCTATTATTAGGGCATGTCTTAAACATTCTGAAGACAAAATACTATCAAGAAGGACTTTGAGAACTTTGAAAAGATTTAATACTGATGATAATAATGGGTAATATTTATGAAATGTTTACTGTGTGTCAGTAGCTGTGTAAGAATTGTATATGTATTCTCTCTTAACCCTTCACAATAATAATCAAATTAATTCTAGAAATGAGGAAACAGCCTCAGAGAAGCTTATACAACTTCCTGAAGGTCATATACCACCATGTGGTGACGCCAGAATTCAAACCAGCTTGTGTCTGGGTGACTCCATAGCCCGTACTCTTAACCCCTCCACCTCTTCACATAAGTACAATTATCATTACAGCTACAAACCCCTGAGTAAACAGAAATCAGAGGAAGAGCTCAAGGATAAGAACCAGCTCTTAGAGGCCGTCAACAAGCAGTTGCACCAGAAGTTGACTGAAACTCAGGTGAGAGACCCACCAGACCTCTGCCATCAGCTACACTGGGCGGAAGCCTGAGGGATGGCCGGTTGGGCAGGAGCAGGCTTGTCGAGGACAGAAAGGGAAGACACCAGGGTGTGCTGTGGCTGCCCAAGAGCGAGGGCAGGAAAGAGCACACCCGAGGAATGGAACAGGCCTTACCTGTCTGCCTGGCACCCCAACAGGGAGAGCTGAAGGACCTGACTCAAAAAGTGGAGCTGCTAGAGAAGTTCCAGAGCAACTGTTTGGCAATCTTGGAGAGCAAGGGCCTCAACCCAGGTAAGAGACAGCACACAGCTGCCTTCAAAGCAGTCAGTTTCGGTGTCCTTTCCTGGGTGATTCTGGACTGTGTCAGGAGTCCAGCATGGCATCTGCTGACCCATTCAGTGCAGGGGTTACCTAGCAAAGCCCTAAAGATTTGGGGGGGCTCCTCTTTGTTCTCTAGTGATGCTGACTTTGACCAACAGAATTTCAGATGGTTCTTACCTGAACACTTTATGCCATTTGTTTGGTGCCAACAGGTATGATCTTGCAAATAGATCAGAGATATTTTATTTCTTTCGAGGGATATAGCATACAGGTAACTTACTCAGGTGGAGAGAGAGAGGAGGGATGAAAGTGTCGAAAGGGTCCCTAAAGCTGGCTGATCAGTGGAATCACAGGGATTAAAATATGATTTCTTGTTTGAGCCTGTCCCCAGACAGCAGAGTTGGTAGCAAAGAGGAGAGCAGAAGAAGGAATTATCCAAAGACCGAAGGAGAGCCTCACCTGACTTGAGGAGCCTGAGAATGCTCAGGAAGGGGCCCAGACTTATTTGAATTAAGGAATGCTGACTTTTTTAATGTGTGTGTGTGTGTGTCTGTGTGTGTGTGTGTCTATATATAATATATCTTTATTGAATTATAGTCAGTTTACAATGTTGTGTCAATTTCTGATGTACAGCATAATGTTTCAGTCATACATGTACATACATAAATTCATTTTCATATTCTTTTTCACCATATGTTACTACAAGATATTGAATATAGTTCCCTGTGCTATATATAGTATAGGAATGCTGACTTTTTTACCATAGTAACCTGTGCATTTTAGGATATATTCTTTATAGTCACCATATACATCTTTGTATGATTTTAACTTAACTATGTGTATGCACTCTTTTTACCAAAAATAAATTTTTTAAAGGCCTAAAAAGCTTTTAAAAATAGTTTTGTATGTTGTAAACAAAACCAAAAAAAATCCAACCTATACATTTCTTTTGGACAAATTTCCTGTACAGATGAGGAGAAAGCAGAATGAATTTTTGGCATATCCAAACCTAGAGAGGAAGGGGAGGTGTGGATGACTCTGCCAAGGTGAAAACTCAGGAGAGAGTCAGGGACCAGACGCTAAGAGAATTTTCCCTCATGAGTACTCCTATGGAGGGGATTTTATTTTCTTTTGTTTAAGCTGCAGTTCCCTAAACGAGGCTCTTTGTTGTATGTACTTGTTTCAGGCAGTGAGACCCTCGCATCACAGCAGATCTCCACCACGGATCACATGGACTCTATGGTGAGGACACAAGTATGAGTGGGCCCAGTGGCCGTGAGGCCCTGCAGATCTGAGTGGGTCTCTGCCATTTGCTCGGCAAAGCCCAGGAAGCAGCCTTTGCTCATCCAGGATAGTGGAAGAAAGTGGTGGATGTGTAAATGGCATATTTTACTTGGAAGGCGATTTTGTGCTTACAAATATGAGTGAGTCTAAGTTGAAAATGTATTACTTTAAAACACATAGTAGGATGGACCTGTATAGACAGCTTTCTGGTTTCTCTATTCTACACTTTACCATATTTCCCCTCTTATTCCTTTGCTGAGAACTGTGTCTTACCAAGGTCCAGCCTGTATTAAATGTGTCTTCTCTTTGGTTCCTTCCCTGAAGTAGAAGGTAATTGTTTAGGATTAAAGTCTTTTGAGCTTCTATGATCCCGTCCCCAGGAAGATCAGTTGTAGTCTTAGAATGGAAGAATGCTAAGTATGAAAGCCTTCCTCAGCTCCCCAAGGCCATTAGTCACCCCTTCAGTGGCTCTTGCATTTTGTTCATATTGCCTGTGCAACACAGAGCATGTGGTGGTGGGCTTCTCTGTCCGGCGGACTGAGTTCCTCCAGGGTGCCCACTAGACAGCCCAGTGCATGGGTGGACATTCAGTAAATGAATAAAAGGGATGTTAGCAATCATCTGATTCAACTCATATGAAGAGATTAGTTTATATGAAGAAAGTTTTCACATTTCAATAAAAATTTGTTACCACATTGTACTTTCCTCTTAGTTGCTGTTAGAAACTTTGCAAGATGAGCTGAAGCTTTTTAATGAAACAGCCAAGAAGCAGATGGAGGAGTTACAGGTGAGAGGCAGACATCACCCAGAGGACAAATTACCACTTCCTACCACAGTAGGTGGATCTATGAAGGACTTTTTCTTACTTATCTGCCTACTCATTTAAAAAACTGTTTTTTTCTTTTTCAGGGGAGATAATTATGTTTTTATTTATTTTTTAACGGAGGTACTGGGGATTAAACCCAGAACCTTGTACTTGCTAAGCATGTACTTTACCACTGAGCTATACCCTCCCCCCTGCCTACTCATTTTTAATAAACTATTTTATAATCATTTTAGATTATAGAAAAGTTGCAAAAAGATTGCATAATACAGAAAATTCAACTCCCCTAATATTAACATCTTATATTATCATGGCTTATTTGTCAAACCTAAGAAACCAATTTTGATGCATTACTATTAACTAAATTCCAAGACTCTGATTTCACTATTTTTTTCAACTAATTTTCTTTTTCTATCCTGAAGACTCTTAGAAACATTCATACCTACAAGGGCATGAGGCATTGTGCAACACGCTAGGTTGCTCCAGGTTAAGGTCTGAAATCCATGCTGTAGAAATTTGATATCTCAAGGAGACCTGTAATAGGAAACCTAGATTCTTGGGTCTGGACTGCTCTGGATTGCTTGGATGAACCATGGGATACTACACTGAATCCTAGAGGACTTCATTGCTCCAGTTTAGATAACAGATTCTGTAGCAGAGAGGGACAGTTCCTGAAACTGGAACAGATAAGCAAATCTAAGATAGAAAATAACGGTGTCTGTCAGTGTTCCAGTGGTCTTCCTCAGTGGAATAGAAGCATAGTGTTCTAGTCATGGTGTTGTCTTTCCTGTGAGTCAAAGTCGGTGGTGGTTTGTTTTTTGTCTTTTTAATGTCTTTCCATGCAGGCCCTAAAGGTAAAGTTGAAGATGAAAGAAGAAGAGAGGGCCCAGTTCCTAGAACAACAGACATTATATAACAGTCAAGTAAACAATTTTACAACAGCCCTTGATGAAATGGAGCAGCTATTAGAAATGTGATAAAAAGCAGGTGGCCAGACGGCTCCCTCTTGGGGACAGACTCTCAGAGGAAGCTGCTTTTAGGACATGTGCTTCTTGGCCATGATCTTCTAGGACTTAACCACCCTCAGAATGAAAACAGTTTCTGCAGTAGGATTAAGGACAGTCTCTGCTGGAATGCCGGTTTCTCCTTTAAGCAAGCGTTCCCAACCTTCAGATTGGTCAGCTCTCCTGAACCTCACAGTACATAATTGAGGCCTACAAGAGAGGGGACCTGGAAGCTTGGATCAACCTCCCAGGCAACAAAGCGGCACAGCATTAGAATCAGGAGACTAAACCAGCCACAGCCAGAGGATCCAAAAGGTCGCATTGAAATGTGCGGGAAGAAACAGTGGAGCACAGGCGCCCCACAGGAGACATCGCTCTCCTAACTTGGAGTGCATTCTGTCTCATCCTGGTTGGGCTCTGTAACCTCACTGTAAATTTATGAACTTGAAGTTACTTGAAATGGCTTAGTAAATGGGGTGAAGGTATAGATAGCAGTAACACCTATGAAATAATACACTTGGAGCTTTTAATCTAAATCTCTTCTGTTTTTGGGTTTTTTTTTGTAAACTACTACTTTTAAAATAAATATTTCTGTAACTATTCAGACTGCAACACTGACAAATGAAAAAAGCCTTTTAACTTAAATATGTCCACTGAATACTAGTGAACTAATCTAGTTAACAAGTCAAGGCTCCTGATTTAACCCAGAATATTTCTCTACAACTCATTAAGTGCTCTGTGGCAAGTCCCCGCCCCTCACCGTCTTCCAGGGGCATTAGCTAGTCTTCTGTGGGTGTTCCCTGTTTGTAGCTGTGGGTGCCAGACTCTGTGTACCAGGTTTGTGTCACTAGCTGCATGTATTCCTAAGCTTGGTTATATGTCTGCCATTTGCTTTCCACAGCCAATCCTGGACCAGGCACCATGAATCCTTAGTCAACTGAAGTCCATGGCAGGCCTCCCTCTGATTTACCAAAGGTACAGCCATGTTCCATTTCTTAGTCAAATTAGGCAGATGTGGCTTTGGCCATTTCCCTTTTTTCCTGTACCTCTGCCAATTTCTTCACCAACCTCCCCTACTCCTCAGCATTGTTGAGGCTGTCCCGAGCCACCCAGTGAAGCCAAAGAAATGCCCCACCCTACCTTACAGGGCTAAAATTCTTTGCCTTCTTACGCAAACATTCGCACAGTTGGTTATGTCCCAAATATTTTGAGAGGGAAACCCAGTTAAGTAATTCTCACCAGTGAGAAGGCCTAATATTTTCTTCTGTCCATTTTCAGGATGTTTCTAACTTAAAAGATTGTTTACCCAAGTGAATTTGTAATCAGCATTTCTGGCCCCCCCCCAAAATGTTTTACTTCCTTCTTGGAAGGAGAGGGTGGGAAGCTCAGCTGTTAAGATCTTCGCTTCCTTGTCATCTCTCCCTAGTTAACCCCTAGGAATGGAACTATCTCAGTTCTTACCATGACTCTTCTTTCCTTGTGTAGCGACCCCTGTTCACTCGAAGTCCTGCCTCCCAAGGGGCCTTCTCATCAGTTTTGCACCACCATTTGAGCACTTTTGCCATTTCTCTTGTTCCCTCTGACTTCTCCATCTGCCTTTTGTAGACATGGAAGTGTTCTGGGTGCTTACTCTGATCTGGATTCTGAATAAATTCATATATTACGTGAATTCAGTGTGATCTGCACCCTCCATTTTGCTAGATGCTGTAGGGAACTTCAGCATGACATTCTTAGCCTCAAAGATACTTACAGTCTATCTGGTAAAACAACACACAGGTGTTAAACTATACAATTTCAATAACAAATGCAATCGTCTTTTAAGCAGTGGGTTGTGCAATATAGCTGTGTACTATAATAGTTAACTATGGGCTAGTTTGCTTGGGAAAGGCTTGATGGAGGACATAGACTTAGGACTGAAGGAAGAGTAGTATTTGGAGAGGCTAGCTAGAAGGTTAAGGACCTTCCAGGTTGGTGAACACGTGGAGATTTGGGGAGAATAGCACACTCAGGACATGGAAGCTTCATGCCCTTCCCCTACACCTTGCCCCGTGCAGCGCTTCCATCCGGTTGTTCTTGAGTTACATCCTTTTATAATAAACCAGTAATCTAGTAAATAAAATGTTTCTCTGAGTCTGTGAGCCACTCCAGCAAATCAGTCAAACCCAAGGAGTGGATCATTGGAATTTCCAAGGAGAAAATAAAATTATGAAAGACTGGAAAAAAAAAATTGAAGGGACATCCAGGTGAGTCTTAGGGAACTGAGTAAGAACACTGACTGGACATGTTCAGAGGGTTCAAGCTGAGATTTAACCGAGCACTTGCAATATGCTGCAGGTGTATCCCTCCTTACATACACTGATGGAATCCCCATTAGTCATACAAGGTAAGCACTATTACACCTTTTTATAGCTGGTTAAATAGGCTCAGAGAAACTAAGCTGATTTGCCAAAGGTCAAACAAACAAGTATTGGTGAAAGACTGGAGTGAAGGAACAGTGGAGGTGGAAAGTACATGGTGCTACTAAAAGTTTTGAAGAAACTTGAATAGCAGGCTAGGAGGTGTAGATTTTTTTCATCTTAGGCCAAAGATTTCCAAACTCAGTTCACAATATTCCCAGTGTCTCAGTAAGTTATGACATACCAAAAGAAATGCCAAAAATTTCTATTTTTAAGTAGTTAGATCCAAATAAGTAATTATATCCTAATAACTTAGTAGGTATTTGAAAACAAAAAATAACATAAATCTAAAAATATTTTTATTTTAATTTTAAATAACTACAGTTACTTACTAATGGGATGTTGGGCATTGCTTAACTTTTCAAACCTTGGAAACAATTTGGACACTACCGTGTTCCTTCTCTGACACTGAAAGGAACACAGTGTGATCTAATTGAAACTGACCTACTCCGAGCTAGTAGTTCACATGTAGCCTAACATGTCAGTGTCACTGTGATTCCCCCTAAAATTCTGGAATATCCCTTGGCACCCCTGTGAGCTTGCTGCCCAGGGGTACCTTGGCTCACAATCTGGGAACCATGAATCTAGGAAGTAAGGAATCACACATTTTGAGCAGGCAATCACCATAATGAATGTTTTAGAAAAATGAATCTAGCATTGTGTGAAAAATGGATGGCAGGATTAAGAGAATGGAGTCAAAGACAGGAAAACACAGGAATCAAATGTGTTTAGGAGCATGATGACACAAGTATAAAGATTTGAAACACAAGAAAACTACATATACTCATTGATGGCATAAGGGTGTGAAGGAGAGGAATCTACAAATGTAGAGGTTTTGAGCAAGGGTGACAATAAGAATTGGTTATAAAATTAGGCTGTTAAAACTTCAGCTTGCAGCCGAATCCCAGCCTACCCACTAAAAACTGGTCTTTGGCGAACTACTTCTCTCAGTCTAATTTCTTACCTGTAAAATGCCTGCTTTGCTGGGTTACTGTAAGAGAGGATTATGCCTGGCAACCAACCCAGTGACTGGCCCAGTTACTCAAAATTCAAAATGTCTCTTGGTAAATGATCGTCTTAATCGTGCCGTTTGTGCTGTAGGGCTTGTTCTCTTCTGTCTCTTCCTGTCCTCTGCCTCTGCCTATGTCCTTAGTGCCCTGTTTTTACTGTTGCTTGCAGTGGCAAGCTTCCCATACTCAACTTCCCTCTTTGGGAACTCTCAAATTACAACCACCTTAAAAAACAAAGCACACACTTTCCTCCCCTCTAGCTACCATTCACCTTCTGTATACAGTCAAAATTCTCAAGAAGCCTTTTTTTTTCCTCACTGTCCTCTTCCCCTACCAATCTGGCTTAAAAAGAAAAACAATGAATATAAGGTACCTAGAGTAGGCAGATTCAGAAAAAGTGAAAATTACCACAGACGAGGAGGAAGGAAGGGGGAGTTATTATTTAACATGTACAGAGTTTCCGTTTGGTGTGATGAAAAGGTTCTGGAAATAGTAGTGATGGTTCACAACATTGTGAATGCACTTAATGCCACTGCATTGTAACTTAAATATGGTTAAAATGGCAAAATTTATGTATATTTTATTAGAATTTTAAAGTAAAATGTCTTGGGGCATAATGAAGTGTACTAACCTTAAGTGTACAGGTCAATAAATTACTGCCCTTCCCTCCAGGGATGGGCATCATTCTAACAGAAAATCACCATCTATGGGTATTTTATCTTTTTTTTTTTTCACTTTTTAGACGCCTTTATTATGGTATGATTCCTGTGCAGTAAACCCCACGTATTTCAGATGTACAATTGGATGAATTTTGATAGATGTAGACACAGATGAAACTACCACCAGAGTACTGTCTTTTCTTGAACTTCATATAAATTGTCCGTCTCATCATTGTCAAGTGGATTAGCATGAGTTGCTCAAAATATCCTCTTACTATCTTTAATCTATAGGATCTGAAAGTTGCTCTCTTTTTCACTCTTGATGCCAGTAATTTGCAGTTTCTCTTTTCTTGATCAGTCTTGTTAGTGGTTTATCAGTTTTATGTTGATTTTCCCTGTTATACATCTGCCCCCATTTCATAATTTCTATTATTTTTCATTTCCATCTATACTTGGGGTTTTAATTCACTGTTCTTTTTCTAATTTCTTAAAATAGAAGAGTAGATCATTTCATTTCATTTCAAATTCTCTTTCCTAGTACACGCATTGACAACTATAAATTTCCCTCTAAGGGTCACGTAGCTGCATTCCACAAGTTTTGCTATGTCCTATTTTCATTATTTGCCCTTCTCTTCAAAATATGTTCTAATTTCCATTGTGATTTCTTCTTTCACCTATAGTCTTCTTGTCTCATTATTGCCTCATCATTCTACAGTTTTTGATGAAGTTGTGTGAAATAAAATTCACATTTTATAAAGGCAAAACAAGAAAAATTTAAACATAAAAAGTTCTTTTCTTCCCTTTGGTCTCCTGTCTCCCCACTGGGCATGGTGTGTCTGCATTATGCATCTACCAAACCTCCTCCATTGGTAGAAATATCTGCTCAACCATAAAGAGCAACATTCTCCCAGCATCAACAAGATAACTCCTTAAAGATAACAATCCTTCTTGATCTTGTAAGGGGCCATGATGACCTATCACTTTGTACTCGCAGGTCTGGGATGTGTATACTGTCAGTAACATGTCATCTAATGTACAGCTCTCTGTCTCAAAAAACTTATAACTGTGTTTTGACTTCTAACAGGTGGTACAGTTCTTAGAGCTTTCTGAGGGGCTGTTCCTGGGCTATAATCCACAAATTCGGCTTGAATAAAATTTTCCATTTCTTTCATAGATTGACTACTGTTTAATTTTCATCGACATATGCTTGGCATAGTCAACAGGATATCAGAGACACCCGCCAGAGGACACCTGGAAGATGCCTCAACCAGCACTCAATACCAGCAGAAGGCTCTTTGAGCCTCATTGGCTTCTCAGAATCCTTCAGGTGTTCCGGTGAGTTCTCCTGATATCTGGATCTTACTGTTTAGATAATCCTGAAAATTTTATTTGAGCTGGTTTTTACTTAAGACTTGGGGTCTTAAGGGGCACTGGTGCATTTCCTGGGCAGGGTTCTAGGGGGATCTGGACAGGAAGTCCAGGGAAAACATAGATGGCTGGGTTTTGTTAAACTTGGCTTAACTTAAGGGGAAAAAAAGGGTAAACGGATATATGGTCTGAACAAAATTTCTGTTAGTGAAATGAGAAACTGGTTATTCAGCTCCAGTGAATAAAGGGACATTTTGCTCCTTCTGGCCACAAGGCATCCTCAGGCAACTGAGGACCTAGCAGAAGTGTCTAAGGACCAATCCTCATGATGTGTAGCAGTCCTACAGGGGAACCCCAGTATGACCATTAAGTAAATACTGCTCGCCTCAGGGGGTGCAACCTATGGTGGTTTTAGACTGTTGCAGGGAGAAACTAAGACACATAACAGAGTCAGACTGACTCAATGGTAACTCTTTGGGGAGCTAGACTCAGAAGCAGCACACGTGCAATCAACCACACTGTCCTCAGAAAACTGAGATCATATTTCATACCTTAATCAGACTACCAAATTAATAATGAGAAATGGTGTCTCAAGGGCCAAGCAGCTCCCAGATGGACAGTCACCCATAGGAACCCCAGCTGGATTTATGTATAAATGTAAAGTTTCCTAAGAAACTGATAGGAAGGTCTGACCAAAGACAGTTTGTCCCTGAAATGGCCAGAAAAGGGCACTTTCAATTTACCTAAGTTGGTTTATTTATACACTACATTAGAAAAAGCCAGCTATAAGATCTAACAGTTAGAATGGGAGACACATTTTGATTGGTACCTGGAAGCCTCAAAATGAGGTTTCTTCCCAAAGAAAATAAATTGGGCAAAAATCTGTCATTGCAAACAAAGGCCAGGAGAGACTATTTTTGATGATTTTGAAAGGTTTGGAAAGGTATTCAAACACCACTCTGGCATGGATCTGGAGAGTTTCCTAAACTATCAATGTGATTCAATATTAAATTCTATTTTCCTAGAAGGAATTGATGAAGAATTGGCACAACTGGTTAAAAGACACGAACCTGACTGGGCCACTATGCACATTAGTACACTTGCCACTATTACTGACAAGCTTTCCTAAACCTTACAGAAAAGAGAAAAAGAAAGGGCCGCCAAGATTATAAATGTGCAGCTACAACAGCTCAGTGGCCCACCAAGACCACCTGGCCCAAGTCTTAGTAAGTCTTGAAACAACCGTACCTGCTTTTATTGCAGAAAACCTGGGCATTTTAAGAGAGACTGCCATGAGTTTAAACGAAATTTAGGACAAGGCAAGGTCAACAGGGACTAGGGGTCCTCTGAGAATTATGAGAGGACATTCTCTCTCCTCCTCACTAATACCTTAGGGGAAATTGAGATAACTATAGAAAAGGAAGCATCTAAGACCCTCGTTGACAAGGTGTTGCCAAAACACGGTCTCCGTACCCTGCTGGTTGAATTGAGACTCGAGGACAGACTTTTGGTTGGAGTAGAAAAGGCAGCTTTATTTCTTTGCCAGGCAAAGGAGGTCACAGTGAGCTAATGCCTCTAAGACTGTGAGCCTGCTGGGGAGAGAAGGCAGGGATTTTATGGTAAAAGTTCAAGAGTTCAAGGGGTAGAGCTAGTTTCCATAGAGATTGCATATAGGGCAACAAATTGTTGCAAGTTGTTCTTGTTTTTGCAGATGCAGAGGTCCCCTTCTGTCTACTGGGTATGAAGTTCACCTCTGGCTTTGGGACTCTCTTAAGATCCTTGTACCTAGAACAAAGGATGCATAGGAAGGTGCTCCATGGAAAAGAGCTCTAGCAAAAAGCTTGTACAGTTTAAAGTCAGGTTGATAAATGCTTTTAGCCTTTTAAGCAGTCTGAGGCCTGGGATGTCCTGCTGCAGGCTGAGGCCTGCAGCTTGAACAACAGGATACAAGGAAACAACAGAGGGTCAAGAGGAGGGCCCTGGGGGCAAGGGCAGGGCACCAAGCATGATCCCTGCACACAGCACCACAAGGAGGTTGGGTGGGCCACCCAAGCCTCCCTCCTCTGCAGCCCAACCCTGGTCAGCAAGAGCATGAGAAAAACCCTTTAAACCATTATACAGTTAAGCAGTTGCAAACACCATTACAGATATCAGTTGGTCACCAGAGATGACAATAGGGTCCTGCTTGGTTACAAAGGGACTACCTTATTTGTTTCTAACCCTATCCCCATTGCATTGCCCTCTCCCTTGGAGTAAACAGTCCATTCAAATGGTAAGGATTTCTAATTTACCTCTGTGAGTTTTAAAATTCCAACCAACAACCTTTCAGCCAAGAACTATCATAGGGAGACATGTGTTCCTTTTGGAGAAGTATGCTCCAATTCATCTGATGGGACGAGATCTTTTAGAGACATACAATGCCCATTATTGCCTTTCCACCTAAGGGTGAAACAATTTTAGATTTGGAGAATTTAGATGCAGACCAGAACTTAATTACCAAGAAACTGATGGTTGTGAAAAAACAAGAGTTCAGACAGATCTAGGCAAGGTTAACAGTCTGCTGTTGCAAATGTCTGAGGAATTATGGTCATCCTTCTCCTCAGACATGGGGAAAATCAAGTCAGCTACTCCCATAAAAGTAACTTGATAATTCCAAGCCTCTACCCAATATTCAACAATATCCACTTAGTTCAGAAGCATTAAATGAAGTAAGACCTATTATACGGGGATTCATTGATAAGGGACTTATAATCCCTTGTACTAGCCTTTGTAACACCCTGATTTTGCCAGTAAAAAAGCCAAATGTAAAAAACTGGAGGTTTGTTCATGATCTAAGAGCTATAAATACTACCGTGCTCCCTCACCACCCTGTGGTTCCTAATCCTCAACCATTCCAGCAGACACCTGTTACTTCTCAGCAATAGACCTATGTAAGTGCATTCTTTAACAATCCAGAAGAGGAAGAAAGCCAGTACCTCTTTTTTTTTTAATGTGGGAAGATCGTCAGTATACCTAGACAATTACGCCACAAGGCTATACTGAAAGCCCCACTTATTTTTCTGTAATACTTAAAGCTTACTTGGTTGATGTTCACTTTCCTAATGGCTGTGTCCTAATCCAGTATGTAGATTTACTTTTGTGCTCTAGAAGAGAATAGGACTCTCAAAAAGACACTACCCCTCTGTTACAACAAATAGCTTCCGAGGGGCATAAGGTGTCCAAGAACAAGCACCAATTCTGTTTACCAATTGTGAAATATTTGGGACAGTTGATATCTAAGGAAGGATTGTTAATTAGTTCTGAAAGAATTAAGGCAATCCTGGCTTCCTCAAAACAACAGCTGAGAGGTCTTCTAGGTCTGACTCATTATTATTGGAATTGGTTACCTAATTTTTCCCTTATTTCTTAATGCATCTATATGTTACATCTTACCAACCAGACCCAACTGAATGTACAATGGAAGGAGAAAAGATTGTAGACACCTTAAAATCTTCATTGACTCAGGCATCAGGCCATCCTAATTATAAATTCCCATTTTTCTCTTTGTGCATGAAGATAAAGGAAACCCTAGGCCTGTTAACCCAGAGGCACGAAGACCAGCATCCACCAGTGGGATATTACAGCCAGCAGCTAGATTCTGCTGTATGAGAGCAGTTTCAGCAACAGCTCT